AGACGAGAGCCGGGGGGGGGGGCGCGGGCAAAGGGGGGGGGCCAGGGCCAGGGACGGGGACAGAGCCAGAGGGCGGGGCATTAGCCAGAGGGCGGGGCATTAGCCAGGGGGCGGGGCATGAGCCAAGGGGTGGGGGCAGAGCCAGGGGTGGGGCCAGAGGGCGGGGTATTAGCCAGTTCTGTTTGGACCTTAGCCAGGGGCCACGGTGCTGAGGCGTCTCTCTGCTGCAGGTGCAGAGGAACTGCTGCCTGACGCTCTGTAACTTCAGCATCCCAGAGGAGCTGGAGTTCCAGTACAGTCGGGTCAACCAGCTGCTGCTGAAGATCCTGGAGCCGGCCCGGCAGGACGAGTCCATCCAGAGGATCGCCGTGCATCTCTGCAACGCCCTGGTCTGCCAGGTGGACAACCACCACAAGGAGGCCGTGGGCAAGATGGGCTTCGTCAAGGTAACACTCCACCTGGCAGGGTTACCGTGGTTACCGGGGTCACCAGGAGGGTAACCTGGGTTAGCAGTTCATGTTGTTGGTTCTGTGCTAACTAAGCGTTTCCCCTCAGACCATGCTGAACCTGATCCAGAAGAAGCTGCAGGACCGAACGGTGAGTCTCTGCCTGTCCTGCTCCAGGTGTGTGTGTGTGTGTGTGTGAGTGACAATGTGTGTGCAGTGTGACCAGGTGATGGAGTTCTCCTGGAGCGCGCTCTGGAACATCACCGATGAGACGCCTGATAACTGCCAGATGTTCCTGAACTGCCGCGGCATGAGCCTCTTCCTGGAGTGTCTGGAGGTGAGGCGCCACCTGCAGGACACGGGGTGAAGTGCAGCAGCTCTGAGCAAACAGTGTCTTACCTGGTTCTGATCTGCAGGAGTTTCCAGACAAGCAGGAGCTCCACCGCAACATGCTGGGGCTTCTGGGTAACGTGGCGGAGGTGAAGTCTCTGCGGCCGCAGCTGCTCACGCCTCAGTTCATCACCGTGTTCAGGTGAGAGTCCTCCGGCCAGCAGGGGGCGCCGTGAGGCAGCGTAGAGTCGTTCTAACGTTGTACCGTCCCACCGCTGCAGCAACCTGCTGGAGAGCAAGGCGGACGGCATCGAGGTCTCCTACAATGCCTGCGGCGTTCTGTCACACATCATGTTCGACGGGCCCCAGGTGTGGAGCATGGAGGAGCCGCGGCGCGATGCCGTCATGGACAGGATGTGGGACGCCATCCAGAGCTGGGACGTCAGCTCCCGCCGCAACATCAACTACAGGTCAGGGTCAAAGGTCAATCAGATAGCAGTGGAGGAGCTGCTATCTGTCTGTCTAGTTAGAACCAGGCTGTATCTTTACTTGTATTTCCGTTCTGAGCAGATTTATTTATTTTTTTCTGTGCTGAGGATCAAATCTCCAGACGGCGTAGATATGCAGATCTAGATCTGTTATTAGAAGCTGTTTGTGGTGACGGTCCGGTCTGACCTGCAGGTCGTTTGAGCCGATCCTGCGGCTGCTTCCTCAGGGCATCGCCCCCGTCAGCCAGCACTGGGCCACCTGGGCGCTCTACAACCTGGTGTCGGTTTACCGTGAGTATCTGCTGACTCACCTGATGAACACGACAACATGATGGCTGCTGGGTAAACGCTGCTACTGATGCTGCTGCTGATGCTGCTACTGACGCTGCTGCTGACGCTGCTGCTGACGCTGCTACTGATGCTGCTACTGACGCTGCTACTGACGCTGCTACTGACGCTGCAGCTCATAAAACATGATCCGATGTTTTTAGCTTCAGATGCTAACTGTTTGTCTGACTTATTTCATGGTTTATTTTTGTCTGTTTCCGTCTGCAGCCAGTAAATACTGTCCGCTGCTGATAAAGGAAGGCGGCGTTAGTCTTTTGGAGAAAGTCCTTGAGCTGGACAGTTCCCAGCCAGAGACCAAGGAGATGGCGAGGTGAGACTTTACTTTTATTTAACATTCAGCTTCGCTCTCTGTCTGGAGCAACAACAGAGTCGTCTGCATAAAGGCGAATCAGAAGGCGTTGCTCCTAAAACCTCACTTCCTGTTACCTTAAAGTGACAGGAATAAAGTCACATCTACGACCAGGCATTAAGTAAGAAACACTGGGTTTATAACATGGCCGTTAAAAACTTCAATAAAACAATTTAATGCTGCAGAGTGGATCTTTATCTGTCACGTTTTTCAGTCAGCCTAGCTGCTCAGTCAGCTGCAGTAACTTTCATGCCCTTTGACCTTTGTCATGTCTCATCTCAGCCACATGCTGGATTTATTGGGACTTTGTGGGACAGATCAGCAGGAAGAGAAGCAGTCAGAAGCTTCCTGCTGGTTCTGTTTCTGTTTGGACCAACAGGAAGCAGCTGGGGGTGCGGAGCAGTCAGGAGGTCCTGATCCACCAATCAGAAGCTGGCTTTGATAAACGGAGCCATGTGACTCTAAAGAGGCAAAAATAATAACACAGTTCTGGAATTTCTATCCAAAATGTTCTGGAAAGTCAGAGAAATGAGTTTAAACCAAACCTGCAGCTGCTGCATAGTCAAAGTTTCTGACATGAATGTATCTGATAAAGAGGCTGATTTTATGACTTTCATCATTATCCATATTTCTATCTATGTTTTTATGCACATTTTGAAATATCACAGCAGAAAAATAAAAAATCAAAATAACTTGATATTGTAAAGAGGTGTTTGCGCCCCCTGTTGGTGGGTTTAGTTAATGAGCTGCAGCTGAGATGGAAACAGTTTACTAAACATTTCCTGTTTATTCCAGCCAAACCATCTGACTCTGTGTAGCCTGGTCGGTCCGGTCCGGTTGGGAGGGTTCCGGTCCGGTCCGGTCCAATTTGATTCACTCCAAACCAGCAGACAGAAACTCGACTAAAACATATTTTACTTGTTTTCTGTTTGTTGCGACGTTTATAAAGTTTGTTCGGTTTCCTTGCACTCATTCTGGCGCCCCCTGCTGTTTCCAGGAAGGTGATGGAGCAGTGTGAGAACTTCAAGGAGGATCCGATGGAGACGAACAGCGGCCAGGAGGCCAACTACGGCCAGAGAGGCTGAGCCAGAACCAGAACCAGAACTCCCAGTCTGCAGCGGGTCCAGAACCGGCTGGTTTCTGCTTCTTTTCCCGTTTCCTCTTGTTTCGTAGAGCAGAGCGAGTTCTGAACCCGAACACATCATTGGAGCCGCCATGTTGGGTCGGGAGGGCTGTGTGTGTGTGTGTGTGTGTGTGTGTGTGTGTGTGTGTGTGTGTGTGTGTCTGTGTGTTGGAGTAGCACAGATCTCCAGTTCTCAGATGGGACTGGTGTTTCCTCCTCTGTTAGCGCCCGGTCCGGTCCGGTCCGGCGCTGGACTCGTTGTTAAATATGTAAATATTCAGTGTGGGTTTCTTCTTTTACTGTGTGGATGTTTTATAAACGGCTGTAAACACTCATGACTCACAATATTTAAACGGAAATGACCTGCTGTCGGCGCCGACCATCCACACCAGCAGCCCTGGACAGAACCAGAACCAGTTAAACAAATGGAACTAGTTAGAGGACTGTGAACCAGTTAAATCTCCTGAACCAGTTAACTCACCAGTTGGACGACCTTGAACCAGTGACTCAGAACGACTCAGCAGAAGGTGAATCTCGTTTCCGGGTCGTATCGGGTTTCCTTTCTCTAACTTCCTGTTCGTCTGACAGACGAAGAAGAAACTGCTGAGTCGTTCTTAAAACGCCAAGTCACTGGTTGCCATGGTGACTCTGAGGAGACCAACGGTTGCTGTGTGAAAACTAAAAAAACTTTCAGCCTGCGAGAACCAGGCTGAACCATCGGGTCCGGTTTGTTCAGAACCAATCGGAGTGGGCGTGGCTCCCTGGGCTCTGATTGGTCAGAAACCAGGAAGTTCTGGATGGAAGGAGACAGAAAGACTTGCGATTGGATGGAGGAACTGGATGTTCAACCGGGTCAGAACCGTCATCACGCTGAACTGGAAAACGGGTCAGACAAACTCCCTGTGGCCCGGTTCTGATGGTTCTGATGGAGTGGACGGCTGAGGGACAGAGGTCCAAACAGAACCGGGTTTCTCATTAAAATCATGGTCATATCTGTAGTTTGGTGAATTTCTGGATTTTTCAGTCCAAACAGGGAAACCCGTTTGGCCTCTCAGTGCTGGTTCTGATCCAAATGGAGTCTCAGATTTGGTTCAAGCCTTCGCTCTTAGAAAGACATCTGGCATGTCTGAATAATCCAGAATATCTGGGATTATTCCAGAGATTTGAGGACAGATTAATATGAAATAATAATGTTTATGAAATCAGAACCGGTGGTCCGGTCCAGAGATGCTCCTCCATCTTGGTTCGGTTCCCAGAACTTCAGTCAGATTAAATAATCCCGTTAATCCCAGAACCTTCACCAGGACTTCTGTCTGTTTCCTGATTCTTTTCCTGGTTCTGTTGGACGTTTTTCTCTGATAGTCTGGGTTTTGGTTCCTTGTTGTTATTGGTTCTGTTATTGATCCGATTGCTCTGATCAGGTGTTGATCAGCTGTTCCAGAGACCTGCGCAGTATTTGGACCCGGCAGAAGAAGAGGATTGTTTCCGTCTGAACAGGAAACTGGACTGTTTGTGATTATTTACGGGTTCTGGTTTCATCCTGTTTCTGTTGTTGATTTATTCTCTCTCTGCTGAAGAGTTCGATCCAAATGAAAAACAAACGGTTCCGTTTCTGTTGATCTCAGTAGCTTCATGACTTTAATGTAAAAATATGAATAAGCAATAAACATGGAGTGGTTAAACGAGCCGCTGCTCTTGGTTTATATTCAGCTGAGATTCAATAAGTTAATCAATTACAGCAGCAAAAATGTTCTTTGAAAATAAAATAAACTGCAGAATTTAAATGTTTATCCTGATTCTAACTTACACATCTAACCTTTGACATTCATGTTCACATATAATAACTATTTTCAAAACTCAAAATGCTCATTTTTCATGAAATGGTTTAAATGAATTACATTTTTAATCTATTAATAATGTCTAATGTTCAGAATTTCTGCTGAAAGAAGTATTTACAACAAAGTGGGGTTTAACTTTTAATATCTGAATGTTTAGCAGCTAAATTAAAAACATTTCTGTCTCTCCTGATTTGTTTCTGATGACTTTACTTCATTTTAGTGGACTTCATCTTTATTATATTTATCTAACTGCCACTAGATGGCAGCATAGCATTCCATGTTTTTAATTCTGCTAGTTTTCTGCTCAGTCTGAACCCACAACTACAACATCCACTATCATCCAAAAAACACATTTATTAATCATCTTCGACATCACAAACAATGGCTGCCACCTGTAGGAATGCAGCGGCCATTATTAAAGTAAACACGCCTAAATAGCTAAAATAGCTTATTGAATCACACACTGGTTTGAAATTTGGGGTCAGAGTTCAGGTCATAATTACTATTATTTGTTGAAGTTGTGCATGACTATAACGTCACTGTGTTCCAGATTCTGATGCAAACTGAATGCGGCGTAAAAAAAAAAAAAAAAAAGCAAACAAACAAAAAAAAAACTGAATGCGGCGTCATGTCTTGTTTGTCCCTCGCCGCTCTCCGTAGCTCTGCTTGCTGGCTGAGAAGGCGGAAGTTTCCTTAGGCTAACTTCCCGAAGTCCAATAATTCATTCCCGTTTCTGGGAGAAAGGCTGAAAGGGAAGCAGCGTCACCTGCCAGACATGTCTACTGCCTACAAGAACAGGTGAGTTCTCCTCCTCAGGTGAGACTCGGAGCCAGCAGGGAGAAAAACGCAGTTGGACCGCAGAGAAATCATGTAGCTGGAGCTAACAGCCCCGCTAACCAAACAAAGGCTAACTTCACGTTCAACACACAATTAATTTGATCTGATCCGTTATTAATACAGCAGACTTTATGTCCGTTTAGATTGTATCATTTTAAGCAATTTAATATTTATAAAACGTTTTTTATAGTTTGAGTTAGTTAGCTTTATTTGTTTAGCCACGTTAGCTCCCTGTTAGCAGGTCAGCTGACTGCTTCAGCTGCTGACGTCATCAGAAACAAACATGAGTGCAAACAGCTGCAAAAAACAAATAGCTGCAAAAAAACAAACAGCTGCTAAAAACAAACAGCTGCTAAAAACAAACAGCTGCTAAAAACAAACAGCTGCAAAAAGCAAATAGCTGCAAAAAAAACAAACAGCTGCAAAAAACAAATAGCCGCAAAAAAAACAAACAGCTGCTAAAAACAAACAGCTGCTAAAAACAAACAGCTGCAAAAAGCA